CTCTGCCTCCCAAGCTGGAGTGCAGTGGTACAATCACGGCTCACTATAGCCTCAACCTCTCAGGCCCAAGTCGCCTTCCCACCTCAGCCAGCCAAACAGCTGGGACTATAGGTGTTTGCCACCATGTCTGGCTAATTTTTTAAATTTTTGTAGAGACAGGGTCTTGCTGTGTTGCCCAGGCTGTTCTGCAGCTCCTGGACTCAAGCAATTCTCCTGCCTCAGCCTCCCAAAGTGCTAGGATTACAGGCATGAGCCACCACACCTGGCCTTCTTGGTGTTTGAATATTTTAAGGAATTACTCTAAATCAGATTATAAAGTAGAATGAAACATGTCCTTATTTAATGAAATTAGGATAAAGAACATCTGTTTTTTTAACAGTTGAGTAATGTTGCATCCTTGATGGCTTAATTGTATCCCCATTGGTTGGCACAATTCCTGGGCCCTGAATGGCATTAACTGTTTTCCAGTGTAGCAGCTAACTTCATCTGGCTCTTGTTATGATTATCCAGGAGGGGCAAATACTTGCTTTAAGATTATTTTTCTAAAATTGTTTCAGGCAAACCTCTGTATTTTTAGCAAAAGACTCAACTCCATAAAAGCCAGAATATTCCATTCATTACTCTTTACTGTTCCCTCAGTTCCTCATTGTTCCGGCCATTGTGGGCAGTGCCCTCCTCCATCGGCTGTCTGATGACTGCTGGGAAAAGATAACAGCATGGATTTATGGGATGGGACTCTGTGCCCTCTTCATCGTTTCTACAGTATTTCACATTGTATCATGGAAAAAGAGCCACTTGAGGTACAGTGGATGGCATGCTGTTTCAACAGATCCAAATAGTTGACTCAATACGTTTGGTAGCCTCCCACGCTGGCATGCTTTAGTCAAGTGGGACAAAGCATAGACATTTTGTGCCTTGTAGACTAGAATGCTCTCCCATGATTCACGACATGTTCTTTGGACTGGATGAAGTTTGAGGACTCCTCCCCAGTATGTATCTAAAAAGGTAGGCCTTTGCTCAGTAACCCCCCAAAAACTTCACTGATTCCCTAGGACTTACCACTTAAAAACCTGAGAGCTATTTTCCAATACTATCAAGCACACTAAGGATATGATGAGAGCAGCAGTGTGGGGTAGTGACAGAGCACACTGAGCTTGGAGTCAGCAGGCAGACTTTGAGGCCCAGCCCAGCTCTTTAATATTGGGTAAGTCACTTGACCTTGTGGAGCCTCGGTATCTGTATCACTAAAATGAGAATAATAATACCTGAATCACATAGTCACTGTGATACGAGAATGAGATAAGGTACTTGAAAATTACAAAAAAACCAAAGGACTATATGAAGTATAGAGGCATACTTATAGTTTGAGTTTAGCATTTTGCAAAGTTTAGCTTTCAGAATTAAGTCTTGTGTATATTATTCAAATAAAATTCACATATTTTGCTATTAATAGCCATCAAGCACTTTCCAAGCAATACGATAGCTCTTGGCCTGCCAAGGAGAAGAACATTAAAGCTTTCCTCCTCTGAATGAAGGATTGATTTTGGAGCAGCATACCATTTAGGTGGGAATGTCTTGCTTGTGAAATGGATTCTGCATAACCTTGAAGGGCAAAACTTCTTTTCAGAAAGGAAGATTCAGAGCGGACTATGAGCAATTTAAAGAAATACTGGAATATGCCTTTTGGTTTTAAAGAATGTCCAAAAAAAAACTCAAACTAGTCAATATGATATTTAAAAGATATGCCACATTTATAAGCAGGATTTGAGATTTATGAGATGATTACTGGTTTCCTCACATATAAAATCCTAGAGTTTTAGATCTGGGAGGATCTTTAGAAATCATCTAATTTAAAACACTTAATTTTTATTTGGGGGTACTGAGGCTCAGAGAAGTAATCTGACTTGTCTGAGTCAGTGAAACCAGCAAAATCTGATTATCCCAAGACCTCTGACTCCAAATCCTAGTTTTTTTCACCATATCTTTTACAATATTGAATATAGTTGGCAGTTTGCTACCCTTTCCTGTAAGGTAACAGTTTTCTGGGCTTAAAATAAAACCACAGCATTGAATCACAAGGGCGCTCTGGGACACACTCGCAAGAGAACCACAAAAGTACCTGTCCTGGCTCTTCAGGACACACTGTCGCAGCGCCCAGAGGCCAGTTTAGAAGCAGAGTACTTTATTATCTTCTTGGCACAATTTAGTGCTTGTGGTTGTCTCAGCAAACTTGGCTTCGATGTCTAGCTTCTGGATCAATAAAAAGTTGTAGGTACCTCTTTCAGTATTCTGGGTCTCCCTGCCAGAGGTGTAATAGAAACTAGATTCTCTTGAACTTTGAATAGCACTGCTAGAATTATAAGCCATGTGTAGATTTTTGTTCTTTGTTTAAATTTTTAAATATTAAGAAAGCCTTAATTTAGGTAAAAGGGAGAAGGGAATTGCATTTATTATGTGCTAGGTGCTCCCGTGTACTAGATACTATGCTAGATACATTGCCTACATTACCTCATTTAATGTTCACACATACTCCATGAGAAATACCTTATTTCCATTTTACCTATGAGGAAAGTGAGAGTCAGAGAGGTCAGTGGCAGCTCTTGGATGAGATTCCAGGTCTGTCTACCTATTCCAACAGCATATAACAATCTAGAAAGCAGAATTAGAAAGGCCCAAAACCTTGCTAGGAATCACAGTCATCCAAGGAGTTTTAAAAACTTATTCTTCCCATTTCTCCAACCTCTATCTCACCTCCAAACCCTTCAGAATCTTTTGAACTGGAATCCATCACTATATTTTGTGAGCTCCCCAGGTGATGATATGCAGTCAAGTTAGAAAAGCTTTGATCTAGTGTTTGCTTCTTTAGACCTGTAATGTAAAGTATCATCTATGGGTAAGCTATGGCTTCTGATGACTAGCAGACTGAAATCCATTCTTTCTCACAAATGTATTTCTCATGTTTTTAAAACTTTTTTTTAATTTTTAATTTTTGTTGGTACATAGCAGGTGTATATATTTATGGGGTACATTTTCTTTTTTTCTTTTTTTTTTTTTTTGAGGCAGACTCTCACTCTGTCGCCCAGACTAGAGTGCAGTGGTACGATCTCAGCCCACTGCCACCTCCGCCTTCTGGGCTCAAGTGATTCTTGTGCCATAGCCACCCAAGTAGCTGGAACTACAGACATGCGCCACCACACCTGGCTACTTTTTGTATTTTTAGTAGAGATAGCATTTCACCATGTTGGCCAGGCTGGTCTCAAATTCCTGACCTCAAATGATCCACCTGCCTCAGCCTCCCAAAGTGCTGCGATTATCGGTGTGAGCCACCATGCCCGGCCTTTATGGGAAACATTTTATCACTTATTCACACAAGTCCTTATTAGTTTACTTTGGTCAATGTTATGTGTAGGGGGAGGCAAAGTCTAATACTAGTGTTCCCTCAAATTATACCTGCTTGGACACTGAAAATAGATTCAAGATGATACTATAAATTTGTACTTTTCACTTACCTCAGTAAAGGGCAGATTCTGTCTAATCCATTTTATGAATAGACCTCAGTAAACCAAACTCTTTATACATATACTCCCGACTTCAGTTTTGGAGGGAGAAACTTGCTTAGAAATACAGGTGGCCATGCTTTTACAATAAATGTACCTTTTGTTTCTGTTTTTGTCGTTGCTTTTCCTAAGTTAGTCTCTGAATTTCTTTTATTACTACTTACTGTCCACAGTAGGATATTCAAAGTAAAAACTTTAAATACATTCTAAAAAGACACAAAGAATGTGATTTCAGCTCAGAGAGTGTTTACTGAGCATCAGGACTTTGCCCTGCATTGATAGGAGCCAGGGGGTGGTCTGCCCTCCAGGAACTTCATTTTTCTGTTAGATGGGATCTAAAAGAAATGGAAAACATCAAAAAAGACAGATTTTGTTTGTTTGCTTAACCACTTCAGACTTCCTATCATGGGGCTCTGTCCCTATGTCTCATATACACTGTGAGGCTGAGAGTATCTGTTGCATGTGCAACTTAAAAAACAGTACAAAGCTTTTACTCATGGTTTCATAATATTAACAACAAAAAGCTGTGTGATCTTGGAAGATCAAGTATAAAGGCCATGAGAACTAGAACAAGAATGGGAATTGTAACATAGTGGAGTGATAACCCATACCTCCTCTCTGATCATTTTCTGAAAAATTCATTTTACTTTTTTTTCCCTCTCACTAGGACAGTGGAGCATTGTTTTCACATGTGTGATAGAATGGTTATCTATTTCTTCATTGCTGCTTCTTACGCTCCATGGTAAGATACGGTCTTCCTAGTTTTGAAGGTAGTGATTTTATGGTTAGAATTCCTCAGTCCTTCTTTCCTCCCTTCCTCTTGTCCCCACCCTCAGCCCTCATGCATATACCACCTCCCCTCCTCTTGAACATATACATGCATGCATTTTTTCCCCCCATTTGATTTACTTGGGTCAGAATGCATATTTGAAGGGAAGAATATTGCTGCTGTCTATAAGATTGGGTTATTGGATTGTTCAAGAAGATGTGCTATGAACTGGTGTGCAGATAGCTTGCCCACTCTTGAAATCTATAAACTTTGCTCTCCATATTGTTTCCCTATACCTCTGCTATTGTTCAGAACACTAGAAAATTGAATTGTTCAAGTGGAAATGCTGTAAATATGTATGAGGAAAGCAAGCTTATTTATTTATTTTTTGAGACAGAGTCTCGCTCTGTCACTCACGCTGGAGTGCAGTGGCGCAATCTTGGCTCACTGCAACCTCTGCCTCCCAGGTTCAAGAGATTCTCCTGTCTCAGTCTCCTGAGTAGCTGGGATTACAGGTGCCTGCCACCATGCCCAGCTAATTTTTTGTATTTTTAGTAGAAATGGGATTTCACCATGTTGGTCAGGCTGGTCTCAAACTCCTGACCTCGTGATCCATCTGCCTCAGCCTCCCAAAGTGCTGGGAGTACAGGCATGAGCCACCACGCCTGGCCTGTTTTTGAAATTGATACCATTTGTCTTCAATGTACCTCAAATGCAGTAGCTACTATATAGCAAGTGTGTTTGTCATTTCTTTTGCTGAGTAAGAGAACCGGCCACATGAGTTATCTATTTAAAATACCTAATATTCTGTTCAGTGCCTTTGATCTTTCTGCCTTTTTGGTGCTGATCAAATATAACCTTTTGTTGCTTTGAAACTCTTAATTAAAGAAACATTAGCTTTCCTCTACAAGACATAATCCAGTTTTAAACACTCAGAAGTTTATATTTTGCTATCATCTACTGTGGTCATTAGAAACAGTATGCCTCTAGATTCTGGCTAATGCAGCATTAATCATTCAAAGGAAACCTGATTATCTAAAGGGGTAAAAAGAAAGTGCTATCTTTGCCCAGCATCTGACTAAATTATATGTCTGCTTCATGTTGGAGAAAGCACACTGAAAGGCTTTTGTGAATGGGTAATAAGTGCCCGGAACAATGCTTATCTCAGTAGGAACCTACAGGGCGCAAACAGGATTCCTTACTTTACTTATTTTAAATTCTCCAATTTAAAATGAGTAAATGAATAAAAAGAATTTAAATGTGAGGTAAGACATTAAATATCATAGTAGGCAATTTCTTTACATGTAGTTTTAGATATGTAGGCTGTACTTTTTCCATTTGGAAATGTGAATTTTGTAGTTAGAGATAATCAGGACAACATTTGTTTTTTTCTCATTCTTTTTATTTTTATTTTTTGAAACACAGTTTTGCTCTTGTTGTCTAGGCTGGACTGGAGTTCAATAGCGAGATCTCGGCTCACTGCAACCTCCGCCACCTGGGTTCAAGAGCTTCTCCTGCCTCAGCCTCCCAAGTAGATGGAGGCACGTGCCACCATACCCAGCTAATTTTTTTTTGGATTTTTAGTAGAGATGGGGTTTCACCATGTTGGTCAGGCTGGTCCCCAACTCCTGACCTCAGGTGATCCACCCACCTCAGCCTCCTAAAGTGCTGGGATTACAGGCATGAACTACTATGCCTGGCCTCATTTATTCTTTTTTTCTTTTCTTTATGGGACAGAGTCTTGCTCTGTCACCCATAGGCTGGAATGTAGTGGCACAATTTCAGCTCACTGCAACCTCTACCTCCTGTGTTCAAGCGATTCTCCTGCCTCAGCCTCCTGAGTAGCTGGAATTACAGGTGCCCACCACCATGCCTGGCTAATTTTTGTATTTTTAGTAGAGACTGGGTTTCACCATGTTGGCCAGGCTGGGCTTGAACTCCTGACCTCAAGTGATCTGCCTGCCTCAGCCTTCCAAAGTGCTGGGATTACAGGTGTGAGCCACTGTTCCTGAACTTCTCATGTATTCTTAATATGAAATTAGTACAAATGGATTTGCAGTATTTTAAAATTTAGACCTCACAATGATCCATGGTTAAATTCTAACAAAATGTCTTCCATAATATATGTTAGGAATAATTCTTCTCATATTCGCTTTTGGCAGAGAGATTGATATGGAGACACTTGGTTTGTGTATTAGGTGTCCACTGTGGGTATGTGATCCTGGTTCAGGATTTTGTTCCAGGTTCTCATTAAGCTTTGTAAGCAACCTACTCGCAAATACATGGTCAGAAATTAAAGGGCAAGCAGTCTTGACCTCATTCTGCCTAATAGGGAAATTCAGGCATCACAAGAGTACTGGGACTCCCTTCTACTTTTCTGCTTTTAGCTGGTCCTATTTTTAAACCATGTTGAAAACTAATTCTAAGTCTCTTTCTCTCTCTCTCTCTCTCTTTTTTTTTTTTTTTTTTTTTT